TCCGTTCCTTAGGTTGTCTTTTAATTTTGATTATAGTTTCCTTTGCTGTGCAAAAGCTTATAAGTGTGATTAAGTCCCATTTGTTTAATTTTGATTTTATTTCTATTGCCTTGGGAGACTGACCTAAGAAAACATTGGTATGATTTATGTCAGAGAATGTTTTGCCTATATTCTCTTCTAGGAGTTTTATGGTGTCATGTCTTATATGTAAGTCTTTAAGCCATTTTGAGTTTGTTTTTGTCTATGATGTGAGGGAGTGTTCTAACTTCATTGATTTGCATGCGGCCGTCCAATTTTCCCAACACCACTTGCTGAAAAGACTGTCTTTTCCCCATTGTATATTCTTGCCTCCTTTGTCAAAGATTAAATTGTCCATAGGTGTGTGGGCTTATTTCTGGGCTCTCTATTCTGTTCCATTGATCTATGTGTCTGTTTTTATGCCAGTACCACACTGTTTTGATTAGTAGTAGTATTTGTAGTAGCTTTGTAGTATTGTCTGAAGTCTGGGAGGGTTATGCCTCCTGCTTTGTTCTTTTTCCTCAGGGTTGCTTTGGCAATTCTGGGTCTTTTATGGTTCCATATGAATTTTAGGATTATTTGTTCTATTTCTGTGAAAAATGTCATGGGTAGTTTGATAAGGATCACATTAAATCTGTAGGTTGCTTTGGGTAGCATGACCAAGAAAGACTGAAATATGAAGCTGACTTTGTTCCATGCTAGAGTGGTCAGTAAGCAGCCATAATGATCATGCAACTTGTGTCCATCTTTAAAGTGAGGATGAGACAGGCAAATACCTGTCAAAATCACACGGGATGGACTTTCTCTTTTTACCTTCATAAGTTTAGTTCTTCCTAATTAAATTCCAAATGCGAAACTTACTCTAGAGTTTGCTCTACATCAGTTAAACTAGTTGACGATAATCAAGTCAGTGGATTATATAAATCCTCCATAACAACAGACCAATATTAAAGATTTAGTTTTTATTGGAAATTATTGTATACAATTTCATAGACATATACTATTGGTCATAAAACAAGTCTGCCAGCTGCTAGATCTAAATGAGCTAGGAAAGCTTCAGAAAAGGGGCTCCTTCTTCCAAAGAAACTGGAACTAATTACAGTTTCAAAGCCATGAAAACATCAGCATGCACACTGATATTTACTTGCAAGTGAGAGCACAGTGAACTTTCCTGGTTTGCATTACAGTTAGGGATAAAGCAAGTAAGTACCAAGATTATTTGCATTTATTTTTTTGTTTTTTGTTTTTTGTTTTTAGTTCAATTTTCCATTTGTTGAGACCTACACTGTTGAAGAAGTAAAAGTTCACCCAGGGAGTAACAGCAGTGGACACAATCCAGCGGAAGAAGATGGACCACATGAAACTGCTACAGGAAGCAGTTTCCCTTGGAATGTAGATGGTGATTTAATGGAAGTTGCATCAGAGGTCCATGTTAGGTAAGTCTAGTTATTTCACCATCTTGTACTATCAATCAGTTTTGTGTCTGATTGATAGACATATAAATGGAAGTTGCCGCCTTATAACTATCAAAACAGGCAGTTGGGCTAATTTTTTTTTAAAATTCGTAAGTCAGGGAAGCATAAAAAGACACATGTACAATTTTAATAAATAAAGAAGTGTAACTTTGTATTTATTCACTAATTGTTATGTAGAACCAAAGCATTTTCTTTGGTTATGAGTCTCTACGTTGGCATTCTGAATTACCATTCTTCACAAACTATACAGATAATGTACGTCTACAATTTCCATTTTGAATTTTTAAAAATGGATTAAGATCTCAAACCTTGTGATGCCATCTGAATAGCAGATGGTTACAATTTAATCCCCCCAGTCGTTTAAAAATTTCCTTTTACCCACAACAAATACTGTAACACTCTGTGTTCAGCAGTTTGCTTTTATCGTCTTTCCAAAGCATACTTTACGTAAGAACAGTTTCACATATTAACAAGAGCAATGGCTTATAAACAGGCTTGGGAACATGCAAACATTGTTGGTAAGCATCATGACTCAGTGGGTAGAAGAGGTGTGCAGGGCTCCCTGAGTAGCCTGCTAGATGTGAGCTTTCTACATGCATATGGGTGATGGGCTTTACAGGAATTACTGCTGCTGATTTATTAGCCCCTGCATTTTTTCCTAGATGGCAGCTCTGCCATGAATGTATGCTCATTGGCTATCATTAGATTTCTATTTGGTATTATGCACCACATTCGATAGGGGTTATGTGTGAAAAATAACAGAATGATAGGTTGATGAAATAATCATGCATATTCTTATATTCTTTACAGAGTACACCCAAGACTTATCAATCTTTATGGAAAAAGCATGGAAGAAAAAAAACACATGATTCCAAAGTAACATGTAGTTGTTTATAAGAGGAATGTGAAGATTAGAATTTTAATATGAAGGGATATATATGAAGGGATATTGTCATGTTTTAAACAGATATTTTAGTAAGGAAACAACTATTTTTTAAAAGAAATTAAAATTGCTATTTTTGATGTTACTAAAAATTAGCTTCTAGGCTTTAAAAATAAGACATGAAATATATACAAAACAATTTAAATTCTGGTTTTGGGAAAGTATTTATTGGAATGGAAAGTAAGTATTTCATATACTTGAAATTTAAACATGATATATCAATATTTAACCTAGATTAATTCCAAAATGAAATAATTATTTGGATTCCTGGATTTGAGTCCATCAATTCTGATGTTAAATTTCCTATAGCCTGATGCCAACAGACCACAGAGTTCATGTAAGAAAGACTGTCCTGATTTCTTGATGAGGTACGTAATCCAGCGGTATTAAACTACACAGCTAGGAAATGATGATATAACCAGAAATAGTACTATTTTTTCAAAAGCTCTCTAATACCTAGACTACTTGCCAAAAAGAAAAAAAGATGGATTTTTTTTTTTTTAAAGTTAGTTATAGTACCACTTTGGTGAATAGTCTCTGAAAGTTGAAAACTCAAAGTGGTAGGGTTCTGAAGTCCATAATACACATAAACTATTCAAAATATAATGGTGTCACTTCTAGTAGGAAGGAACAAAATTTAAATTTCCTCAGGGATCATCCTTGAGAAAGCAATTCTAAATTTGGGTTTGATTTTCCACCAATGAGCCTCGACATTTTCTTGAAAGAACTACTTGTTTTTTAACCATTAAAAAACATAGTATCTTTTGTTCAAAGGGTTCTTTAAAATTGAATTAATTTCTATGGTTACACCCCCGCGTGTTCATTGGGTCCCACTGCTCAAATGTCTGTGCATTTTTCATTCTCCAGCCACCAATCTGTGAACAGATAACTTACAGGAATTAAGTGGTCTGAGGAAGACCGCTGTTGGCAGGGACCTCTATGAAGAAATCCTCTTCCATAGTGGTAAAGACTGCCCTCTAACCTATCACTTCCCGTAACAGATTTCGAAAATTTGGCCACAACCTTCATATCAAGACAGATGTAGGGACACATGAGATGAAATTATATTCTGGCGTTTATCAGCATTTAGTTCATAGGCATGAATAAATATTTCAAAAAGTGATTGTATTTGCAAGTGAAGAGGTATTTAAATTATTTTAGACACAGAAAGAACTAAGATAACACCAACAAAAAACTTAAAATACTTCAGTCATCACTAAAACATGGAAATTTTGATGTCACATTTTTACCCGATACAAGCTAAATCTATATTTTTCAATTTTACAGTTGAAGTTGCTTCTCTATTTCCCTGAAGAAGAGAATGCGCTTATAGTACTGGTGAAAACACATTTCATACTGACATTTGAGGAGAAAGGAGTAACATCCAAACCAGAATTTGTTTATTTGCTGAATTTGATTGATTGATAGTCAACATTTTAAACAGTTATCTAATTTGTATGAAATACTGGTCCCCAATATGTTCTTTGCAGAGCTTTGATTTTTAAAAATTAGTGAGGTACAGTTTTCATGTTTTACATATATCAGCTAAAGTGCAACATTCGATCTGTTTTAGAATATAAATTAGAATTCTAAGTACTGCTGTTTTTATAAACAAAAAATTTGATTAAAGATGGATTTTTACAATTTACTCTTCAGTACCTTTCCCTTGATAAAATTGTGTTATAGAAGGACTTACTGGATTTATACCTATAAAAACATTTATTTTCTCTTAAAAACTTATGTATATATATATATATATATATATATGTACAGAAAGAAAAAAATCCATAGCTGTATAAACAATAATTATCCAGAAATTAATTATCCCATTAAGCTCAAACCAGTGTATAACTTCAGTCTGACGTTTGCTCATCAGGCCATAGTATGCATAGACTGCTGAATAAATGGTTGCTGATCAAAGCTTAGAGGAAATATATTACAAGTCAATGTCTCTAAAGATAAAATATGCTTTAAAATGATAATGTTCCGCTTCTAGTCATTAGAAACTTTGGGAACAGCTCTTTCAAAAATTCTGCTAAATGTTTCTAGAGAACATATTCCAAACAAGTCTCAAAGATCTATTAGAAATGAGTCCTTACCTATTTGGTGGAATTAATTTTAGCAAAGCCAGCACATATGGTAAATAGTATTTCTTTGAAAGGAATGATACCTCAAAGTCCAAGTTTTCTCCAGTCGAGTCGTTCACTTCCTCAACATAATTTTAATTCAGACGCACTCATTTCAAGGTATTTGTCCAGGGATTACTTATCTTGGATAAGCTGATGCTTTAGTGTTTTTCTATCCATTTAAGAGCTGAAAGATTATCTTTTTGGATATTTTAAAATATTACTTTTGGAGTTATTGTCTCTTAGAATTTTCTCTTAGAATACTCATTGCTTGGATTTTTCGTCTGCATTAAGACATAACATGTCACAAGGTCATGACTAAAAGAAGTACATAGAAGAAGTCTGAGGCAAAATTCACGGTTTCTTGTAAACAATGTCTAAATTTGTTTTAGTATACTGTAACCTGAGTCTGCTATTCTCTCAATTTGAAAGAAGTCTTCAATCGTCTTTATTGCTTTTACTGTTAATGTAACTCCAACTGTCTCTTCTGTTTTCTTCTTGTAGGATAGACTTGTACTGTCTTTTGAAGAAGCCAGCCTGAAAATAGCATTACATAATCACTATAGTCATGAACATTAGATATTTGATGAGTATAATAACTGTCAATGCCAATTGTAGTCAGTACAAATTAGTTTGGGAAATACTGGGCTAAAGAGCATTGTTTTGTTGTTACTGCAGGATTTCTCAGTGATGCACGCACACTCTCCAAAATTGAAATTCAACATATAACGTGCAGTGTTTGCCCAATGCTTATAGTTAGAAAGAACATCTTTCAAAACTTTTGTTATAGTTTGAACATTTGTTGAAGATAACTTATCTTTAAGAAGGCATATTTTTCTAGAAAGACTGTGGTACTAAAGTTAAGAGAAATATGCAATCAGTATAAGAATTAACATTAAAAATACGGAAATGCTGAAATCTAGTAACGTGGGAGTCACAAGTTGGCTTTGAGAAGATCAAGAATGGCATTTTGAGTGGTTTAACAATGGTAATTATTAAAGGCTTACCTTCCACATAACATACGAAATCAATAAAAGTAAAATAAGTCCAAGTAGCAAGCTACTTAAAATAATCGCTATAGTGAAATGGCGTTTGGGTCTTTGATGATGTAGTCCTTCGAGTAGAACCTACATAAATTAACCAAAATAAAGAAATACCACTTTAAAAACTTGCCTCTATTTCGTTTGAAGCCCCTCCACGATCCCCAATAGTATTCAGAATAACCCATCCCATTCTCTTGCTGGTCTAACACAAACCATAGGAAACATTGGTAATTGTTTAGCAGAAACAGGGTGTGTAAAGGGCCATAGCAGTGGTTCTTCCTCCAATCCATCCTACCAAAATCACCTCCTGAAAGAGCTATGTCATGCCTTCCTGGCAGTTGTAGACAATACCAATCCCCTGTAAAGTATTTTTTAGGCTCGCCATGATTTTCCTGACCAAACACTAGCAATAAACACTAGCAATATTTTTTCCCACGATGTTTATGTTTTGGTTAAAAAGGTAATTAATAATCTTACATGTGCAACATTCTCATCCTTGTTTAGTTCAATAACTTTTGGATTTGGCTCTGGAAAAGCTGTTGCTCTTATTTCAAACTTCAGGGCTCTAGTCTCATCCTGTTTAATAAATAAAACAAAAAAGATCACTGTAGCCTGATGATACATCGTTTTGTTTCATGGAAACATAGAGCAGGTAAGAATCATGAGAAACTACTTCTATTCTAAAGGTTTCCACAAGTTAGTCATCTTCTCCGGTTTCACCATTTGTAGTTAATTGCAATGCAACGCTTCCTTTGGTTCCAAAGGCATGTCCTTGGTATTAATTTATACGGCATCATTTTGTCGAAATCCTTTTATTAAACATGGCTGCTTTGCAGAGAACTTGATTTAAATGCTTATAATATTTAATATTTAAATACTATTTGATAATTACCAGTGTATTTTTACCTTAGCTATTGAATTTTTATTCCCAAAGAAGACTTTCTTTGTCTGATAAACATTTCCTCAAATTAATTTTATTTGGGCATGTTTTTCTTAACTTTCTGCTCTGATCAAATACAGATTAGTGTACCAAATATCGTAATGAAAAAATCTGGTACAAAATCTGGTACAAATATTTATAGCATTCAAAAATAAAATCAGCGGCTGAACTCAGAGCTTTACTGTCTGTCTGTCTAACAGAGGGCTTTATCACCCAGAATCCAGAGCCTGGGCATCTGTGGACAGGCTCCATAGACTCTAAGGATCTTTGACGTTGTATTCAAAATCGAGATTTTTAAAATTTTTCATATGTGCGTTCATTAGGGTAGGTGAGAATATATTCTTTTGTCAAATTCTTAAAGAGGAGACTATGACCAACAAAAGTTAAAACTACTGTGTAAAGGTTATTTAACATTTTGGAGAGAACATGTAGAATTTTAGGGCTAAAAATAAATTATATACTTTATCTGGAGCAGTTTTTTTTTCAACAGGGATGATTCTGTACCCTCGAGGAGAGTCAGCTATGTCTGGAGACATTTCTGGCTGGCAGGACTTGGGAGGGTGTGTACTGCCATTTAGTGGGGAGAAGCCAGCTATGCTGATAAATATCCTACAATGCACAGGACAGCCCCTGACAACAAAGAAGCATCTGGTCCACAATGCTACTAGTGCCCACTGTTGAGAAACCTGGACCTCCAGAGTATGAAGGCAGGCTGCAAAAGTTTAACTTGCAACTAAACCAGACAGCTCTTATTTCCCTGTCTGGTGCGTCTTCCTCTTGACCACCCTGTGGTAATTTCAACTATTCCTCTTAACAAAACATAATAGCTCTCATTTCCTTTGGCTTATTATGTTCTGTGCACTAAGTGCTTTATGAAAATCATCTAATCTGCAGCAACCCTGAAAAAGAGATATTACCCATATTAATCTGATAAGGAAACTGAAGAACAGAACTCCAGATAAAACCAATGATCTCAAAGTATTTCTCATAAATATGTATACTGCTTCTTAGGAAGAAGTCCAACATGTATTTAGTTAATTTTTAATTCAGCCTTTCAAAGTTCATCTTCTTAAAAGCGTGTTTGTGTTTTACTGCTGCTGATAAATTTTGAGGTTTTAGTTTGATTTTCTCAAAGTCTTAATTTTTAGCAAATGTATATTAATAAATGTACATGATATACAATAGTAGGTTTTTAAGCATAAAGTAATTTGGAAAGAACTTTAAGGATATATGAAATGTTAAAGCAGCTAATTTCTCTAATTTGATCAAGGTTCATAAATAGTTGGACATGCTTTCTAAAATCTCTTAATTATAGTCTATTTTACAGTCTTAGTAATCTGTTTAATTACTAAAGCTATGTCATTTAGACAATGTATTTTGTAATGATAAATGGAAACAGTTTTGGAGTTTCACTCCAGACTTTACATTCATTCATACCATCTTAATTTGTTGAATGCCTCCTTACATACCATCCTACCTGTATAAGATGGTCGCGTTTGTAGATTCTATATGAAATCTTATCCACAAAGTTGTCACTGTATCAGACTTACCATTTCTAAAATGGATGGCCGACCCTCCAACTGAATGTGAACACTGGCTTCTTTTCCACTGTCCATTTTCCCAAAATTGCATGAGAAATTTAAACAATGTGGATCAGCTTTCATGCAGTACTTGAAAAGAATACAAAAGAGCTATGTTAAAATTTCAACATTTTTTAAAAAGATGGCTAAAATATTTAGATGGCTAAATATATGTGGAATTCAAGATCTGCTCCCCTTGGTGGCATTTTGCAGAAATTTATCTTGATATAAACATGGAATTAAAGATATGCTTTCATTAGTGGCACTTAAAAAATTATCTTGTTTTAAACAAAACACAAATGTTTAGTAAATTAACAAAAACAAAGTATTCGAACTAGATCACATGTTTTCATTATTCTTATGAACTTAATCTTCTGGGATAGAAAAAGTAAGACACCTAATCAGTCTTGCTAAGTTACATGTTCTATGTTCATTGTAAAACTTGGATCATTTTAAGGGCTTTCTTGGGGTTTTTTTCCCCCATACATTCACTAAAATGAAAATGCTGAAAATTAATTTCATGCCACAAAGGCCGTTCAGCTGAGGACAGCATCTTGACCCGCAAAGGGTCTGACACAACGTCTGGTTGGCATAAATTGGGCACTTGTTGCATAAATAATGAAAGTATATCATACATATTTAACCCTGGGTGTCTCTCAACCCTCCAGTCATGCCTATTCCTCACACACAAGAACATTACCTGAACTGGCTTCTCTCCTATACTCAACTGACAGTTCAAAACCCCTTGGTTCATGGGTTTAAGTGTTTCAGTTCTGTAGGTTGGAAAGCAAAAACTACAACCTGAAAAATTGAAACTTACCAGTAGCCTCTTATCAGTCTTTGATAAAAATTTGAATATATCTTTCAGGGTCTCCATTGTGCCTTTTTTCTGCTCTAATGCACACTTTCTTTGGTAATTCTTAAAATGGCATTCTCCAACAGTAGTCTACAAAGAAAGAAAAATCTTATCCAATATTGGAAAGAACAACAGCTACATGGCTTTAAAACTTACCTTTTAAAGCTTACCTTTCCTGAGATATACCAAGTACTTCTAAAATTGTGTGAAAATAATTTTTGATATGGGAGAGATTAAATCTCTGTGGCAAAAAACGCAACAAAAACCCAGAAAAATTTTAAAGGGTTGGATATAGGTCCCAAATTGATCAAATGGCCTTAACCTTACAGAAATTAGGGCAATATGAAAAATGGACATTTGAACATTAGCATGATATTGAACATTTCTTTGGCTTTAGACATACAACAAAGTGTTCTAACAGCATGCCCTACCATCTAAATCTGGGATTCAAGTAAGATTTTTAAGGATTATATATCAAATCTACTGAGTAGGTTTCTTTGTCGATTGTCTTAAAACTGGGACTGTAAAAACAATTCTGATAGAATCATCAACACAAGAATATTGATTCTTAAGTAGTTATTTGAATATTAATAAAAGGCTGAAGTGTTGCGTTTTCAACAGTGGTCTCAAGCTTTATGGAGAATTCCACCAATTAAATTACTTCCACAGGTCCCTATCACAAAGAAAATCTACCAAAGATGGTAGAGCATAGTTCTGTCATTGTGTTGAGTCACATGTAGAGGTTCCACTATAATCCTGCCATTCTAATGCAATATTCAAAGTGTACACAATAAATGCATTGTGCATTCATAGTTTAGACTAAGTGTGACTGAAGTAACAGAAATCTCCATGTTAGCAATATTACTTAGAATACAGGAAGGAACACATTTTTACCTGGACATCCAAAATGTTGAACAGTTTATCAGTTTGGGGAATAAAAGAATTTGGTATCGTTATTTCCACACTAATATTTGGAGCCATGCTTTGGCCAGTGTTGATAACCTGATAAGGAGAAAGAAAATTTAAACACTCAAAAAATACTTTTTATAAAAGTACAGATACCAATGAACTTTTCAGGTGAACCCATATATTTCATACAGCATTTGTAATGGTGGAGGTTTGTAGTAGTTGGCAGCTGCACGGCAAAAGGAGACAGAATATCCATAGTCAGAACTTTAAAACGTTTGTTAATAATATAACTAGTCATTACTCCTAGACCTCTCCTTTTGGTGCCGATTAGACCAAACTGTCTACACTGATGGTTTACTGCAGAAATAGTCTGAGGAAAAAGACATCAATAATATACAGGTGACCCCTGAACAACTCAGGGGGATTAGGGTCACTGATCTCAGCACAGTTGAAACTCCGAATATATAGTCGGCCCTGTGTATACATGGTTTCTCTGTATTCACAGATTCAACCAACCGTGGATTGTGTAGTACTATAGTATTTACTATTGAAAAAAAATCCACATATAAGTGGACCCGTGCAGTTTAAACCTGTGTTGTTCAAGGGCCAACTGTACCTTGGTATGGCACATTATAGATCTAAAAAACCATGGTCAGTTGTCCTTATAACTATGAGGTGGGCTGACATTTCATTATTTGCCATCTCAGGAAAATGCTCAGGTGTTAATGTTGTAACCAAGATGAAAGTTAAAAAGTGACAAGAAGCGGGACCAAAACCCAGGTATTCTAATTCTAAATTCTATGTTGGTTTCACAAAGTCACTCTGTGCTGAGAGGATGATCAGCAGCAGTAAGTGAATAAAAGTATTTTAAATTCAGGAAAATTATAATGCTGATGCACTCAGAAAATCAGAAGAGGGTAGGTTATTGGGTTTTAGGGAAAAAACCAGTTTTTTAATAATGCATAAGGGGAAGATATTTCATTATTGTTGATAAATCTGGGGTTTGCAGAACCCTGAGGAAGGAAATTGGGCCAAAATATTGCCTCCTGAGAACTATAAAACCAACACAGTAAGTCAGAAAAAAGATGTGCTACAATATCTAAATGAAATAGCATGACTCAAAGACTTGCAATGATCTTCTGAACGCACATGACGTAAATAGAGAGAGTATCCCTGGGCTTTGGGACAGGTGGTAACTGCCAGGCCTTGGAAACACAGGGCAGTTGCAAAAGGCAATGTCAGCAATGAGGACCCAGCACTGCCCAGACCTTCAGACAAGGTCTTCCTGACGCCAGCAAATAACCAAGCTCACTTACAATATTCTTTATGCATGTTCGCCTAATAACGTTTAGACCTCCAAGAACATCTTCATACTTGGACAAGTCACCAAGCCTACAGACTGAAAGAATCTCCATGCCCAGTCACTCCATTGTAATTTAACTAGACAATACTTGTTAACTATTATTTGTAATGTAATAAATAGGCCTTCTAGAGTCCAACTCAGTTTCTGTTTATCAGAGTACAAACCCCCACTGGACTGTGACAGGAGCATTTTGGGGGACTTCAGAGTAGAGGGCTACCCTACATATACTAGGGTATACTAGTGTAACAACAACTTGAGTATGGACTCCAAAGAATTTTGAGGTCATTCTGCTTCCACAGATTGGGGCAGTGGCCCAGGAGTTTGCATTTTGGATAAGCACCTCAAGTGATTCTGATACACATTTTGAAAAGCATTGCCTTACAAAATATCATAATGTACCTAAACAGATTCACTCACAGTCTGTAAATAATTGGTATATAGCTCTTGAGAATGTGTGAGCAGTGCTTTCGGTTCAAAAAATGTTTTTGTGAACATTATCTCCAATTTGCTCATTATCAACATCCATGCTGTAACAAAAATTTCAGTTTGACAGTAAAAAGTGTTTAATGAAGTTTTAGCTTTATATTAGTAT